TGGTCAAATCTACAATCATGGATATTTTCTCTTATATTATCTTCAAGATGTTTTATTGTCTTTCATTTCACATTGCTATCTTTACTTGTTTACATTTTTCCATATATTTATAGATATTCAGGTGATAGCCAGTACCAGTGGTTGAAATTACCTTGCTCCAAATCAAGAGTTTGGGTTTGTTCTGTATTCTCTCTTCTGCTTCATTGGTCTGTTTATCCTTGTTCAAAATACTGAAATGTCTTTAATCATTTCAGCCTTATAAAAAGTCTTATTTTTTGAGAGTAAGTGTTCCTTTATTCTTTAGCAAGATTGTGTCTGGTCTATTCTTGGCTTCTTGCATTTCCATAGAAATTTAAAAATCAGTCTATCAAATCCCCACCTTCCCCCTAGTAACCATCTTGGATCTTTATTGGAATTATTGAGTCTTTTGATCAATTTGGGGAGAATTGGAAGTAAACATCTTGGAGTCTATGAACATGGTAGATCTCTTCATTTTATTTTAGGTCATTTAAGAAATTTTTTTAATTTTTAATTTTTATGGATACATAGTTATACTTATTTATGGGGGTTGTGAAATTTTGACACATAATGTGTAATGAAGGTCTTTAATTTCTCTCAAGAAATATTATATGCTCAAGTTTTATATGAAGAAGAAGTGTTGCTTAATGTTCATTATTCTTAGGTATTTTGGTTTTTTTAATGCAGTTATGAGTGGTATTTTAAACAATTTCACTTATAGTGTAATAATTATTTTTGCTACTATAGCCACGTGCTTACCTAACAAGGTTTCAGTGAAGGACAGACTACATATATGATAGTAACCTCTTTAAGATTCTAATGGAGCTGAAAATTCCTGTCACCTAGTGATGAAGCTGTTATAACATTATAGCACAGTTACTTTATTTTTTCATAAATTTAGTGTAGCCTAAGTGTACAGTATTTATAAAGTCTACAGCAGTGCACAGTAATGTCCTAGGTCTTCACATTCACTTGCCACTTGTTCACTGACTCATCAAGAGCAACTTCCAGTCCTCCAGGCTTCATTCATGGAAGGTGCCTGAAATGAGTATATCATTTTTCATCTTTTATACCATACTTTAGCAGTAACCTCCAGATTTTTGTTATATTTTTATCATTATTCTGTTAACAAAATTCATTCTTTTCATTGTGATTTTTTTTGAAGCATGAGTTATTTAGAAACAAATTGACTAGTTTACAAATATTTGTGTATTTTTTGGTACCTTTTTGTTACTGATTTGTTATTATTCTCCTGTGGTCAAAGGATTACACTTTATGATTTCAATCCTTAAATTATGTGGAGAGTTGCTTTGTGTCCCAGCATATGATCAGTTTTCATACATATTCCAGATACACTTGAAAGCGTAGATATTTTACTATTTTGGGTATTGTTTTTTATATATATGCTAATTAAGATAAATGAGTTAATTTTGTTTTTCATATCTTCTATATCTTTTTTTTTTGGTTGCTAAGGGAAGTATGTTAAAATCTGCAAGTTACGGTTGTAGATTTGTCTTTCTCATTTTAGTTAATTTTGTTTTATATATTTTGAGATTTTGTTATTAGGCACCTATTAATTTAGAATTTTTATGATCTTGGTAGATTGACCCTTTTATCATCCTGAATGTCTGGTAATACCTCTTGCTTAAAGCCTGGTTTTTAGAAGATAATAGGTATGATATTATCCTTCTGTTTATATGATATTCCTTTTTCTATTCTTTCACTTCCTACCTTTCTGTATTACATTTCAGATACATCTCTTATAAGCAGAATACATTTGGATTTTTAAAAAAATACATCTGATATTTGTCATTCCTTTGATTCAAGTACTTAATACATTTATGTTAGGGTAATATCTTAAAATACTTAGGTTTAATGTACTACTTTTTATTCCATTTGTTCTATGTTTTTTTCTCATCTTTTCTTGCCTTCTTTTCCATTAGGAAAGTATCATTTTTATTATTTCATCCTTTTCCCATTATCTTTTTAGTTATACATTTTAACTGGTCTTTTAGTGATTATTTACATATTATAATATGTCTGTTTGGCTTATTAGAGACTAGTATTAGAACAGTGCAAACACTTGAGAACACTTTGTTTCCTAAAACATTATTTTTGTTATACAATAATTATCCATTTACATTTATCTACATGTGTTGTGAGTCCCTAAGATCACCCCAGGTTTGATGCTTTACTAGAAGAAGGTGTGGGATGGGACTCAGTATATAGTCATAGTTATGGGTATGATTTATTATAGGGAACAAAAATAAGTGCTTGTATTTAATCTACTCTCTTTACTTGGCCAGAATGTCTTTACTTAAAACCTTTATTTTTTAATTCTTGATTGAATATGCTCACTGATGGTCCATTTTCATCTTTTAATTGTATGTTTATTTTAGAATTAGTCAATAGAATTTTTTATTTCTATCTAGATACTAAAATGAGTGATAAAGCAAGGCTTTAAGACTTACTTTCTATGTAAGATTTATAATCTAAAGCAATTAAAAACTCCGAAAATATTTTTAGAAATGATTACATCATTGAAATGTGTATGTTTACTTACTATTTGGATATGTTAAGTTGTGCTATGTTCATTACAGAATTAGTCTTTATACTTTTTTTTAACTTTTGAAAAATTCATCCTTCTTTTGCTTTTTTTTTTTCTCTTGCTTTTTTTTTTTTTTTTTCTGGTGAATTACTGCTATTTTCTTGCTATCTTCATAGGTGTGGAGATTTTGCCCAGCTCTAAATTCTGTGGTTGTATTAGAAATCATAGTAGTTTTGTTGTTTTATAAATATACATTTATATTATACTATATAAGCTTTTTAAAACTATACTTTGCCTACCTTTTTGAAATCCTTTTCCTCAAGTGAAAATAATTGGTGTTGTTTATTGCACATTTTTGCTTGCATGATATATGTGGCAGGAAAATTATTAGATCATTTTCCCTCTTTCAGTTTTTCTGTCTCAGTATAGGTAAGATTAGAAATATTGGTCAAATTAGAAATATTGACAAGTATTACCAAACAGTCATTTGGGACATGAAGAAGAGTTAGTTATTCTGGTCTTTTGATTACTTCCATTTGTGTTAGATATTTTAGAAACAGCTTAAATTCTTTCAGGCCACCAACGTGCTGTTTAATATAACACAGCACTATACAGGTGCTCCTCAACTTAATGATGAGGTTATGTCCCAATAAACCTGTTGTAAGTTGAAAAGGTGTGGCTGACTGGGAGCTGGGTTTTGGTGTACCTGCCCAGCATCACAAGAGAAGAAGGGTTTCTACTGAATGCGTATCACTTTAGCATCATTGTAAAGTTGAAAAATCCTAAATCAGACCATCGTAGATTGAACTATTTTAAGTCAGGACCATCTGTATTATTGAAGTATTTTTTTTTTTAAATGCTACAACACCATTAACTAATAAGTATGTTGAGCAATAGAGCAACCTAATTTAACACTATCTTAATCTGTTTTGTGCTGCCATAACAAAATACCACAGATTGGGTAATTTATAAAGAACAGAAATTTATTTCTCACAGTTCTGGAGGCTGGGAAATGCAGGATCAAGGAGGTGGCAGGTTGGAGCTCAGTGTCTGCATCTAAGATGGTACTTTGAATGCTCTGTCCTCTGGAGGGGAGGAATATTGTACCCATGGCAGAAGAGCAGGAGAAAGTGAGCCCACTCCTGGAAGCCCTTTGTATAGCAGCACTAATCCATTCCTGAGGAATCCACCTTCACGACCTAAGCATCTCTCATTAGGCCCTGCCTACCAACACTCTTGCATTGGGGATTAAGTTTCAACATGAGTTTTGGAGGGGACAAAAACATTCAAACCATAGCAAACAAAAATGTTTATTTTTCTGTCACAAACTGAAGGGTATGAGATTATACCCTGCTTGCAAACTAACAAATTCCATGAGTGCTTGCAGAAGAGTCAAAAACAAAAAAGACAGAATATTACAGCAGCTGAAGTAGCTAGAGTAGCAGCATTTGTACCAGTTCCCTAAGTTTGGATTTTCACAGAGTGCCACATTGTGCTAGCTGACATCTGAGTCCATAGTTGCATTATGGGAGGGGAACCTTGAACTTACAGAACCTGAATCTTTTATAATAGGCAGCAAGCATGTCTGTCCTTTGCTTCGGAGGGAGACACTCTATTTTCCTGTATACAAGCATCCTTCAAAAAAGATAGTTGTGAAAAGAGGCAGTCAGTGTTTCTATTCCCTAGATAAGCAGAAAAGTAAAGAATCGTTTTTCAACATTTTAGAAGGCAGAAAAACCAAATGGGTATTTGTAAGATAGGCCTAAAATAAGTGACTTCTAGATTTTAGATAGCAGGGGATCTATTTTTTGAGTGTCTTTGTATTACTCACTTTTTTCTTACTGGTGAAAGATACTCAGCCCTCTGTTTTGGGGAGTTTGTGTCTACCTTCCTTGCATCAATGCTTCTGTTTCTCTATGAAAGTTCACATAACTGTGAAGTCTGTTTCTCTCTTGTGTTCCAAAGCCATATTTCCTACTGCCAACTGAATATTTCCTTTCAGATATTATCCCAGTGACTCAAAAATTCTGTGATTCTAGTTTGAATGTATTTACCAAAAGGGCAGGGGCAAAGTCATGTTATTATGTTAATATTTTCCTCTCTTAAAAGAAATTTTCTAAACAAATTATTTTTTATAAACTTTACAATCTTTTTTATGGCTACTGTTTTGTAGGTCCTATTTTATATTTGTAAAATATCTTTATTCTCATATTTAGTATCAGTTTGTCATATTATCATTGCCAAAACTAAGCACTTGGATTTTTGACTTTGTCCTCCACATTTTTCTATCTCTTTTCCCATCTGTCCCCTCACCCCTGTACATTCACACAAGAACAAAATACTGTAAACACTGTAATATGCATGGGCTTGTATTTTTATCATTGATTGTTCAGTCTGCATTTATATATATATCATGTTACTTTCCTCTTTGCAGGTCTCTGTGCCATGCGGAGAGTCCTGAGGAAACAGCCTAACCTCCCTGATAGTAAAGTTGCTGGCATGGTGAAGATTACTCTGAATGATTTCTTACAGGGAATGAATGACATCAGGCCCAGTGCCATGAGGGAGGTAGCAGTTGATGTTCCAAATGTAAGTCATTTATACTCGACACTAGCCACACTATTTAATTCAAAGTCTGAAAGAAATTGAGCCTCCAGCGAGTCTGACTTCCTAGGCTAAACTTTAAAAAAAGTCTCTCTCTTTTTTTTTAATTTTTATTAACTTCTTTTTTCTTTTTTCTGACATTAAGATATTCACACAGGAAAAAAATGTCTCTTGTAACTGAAATTTTTATTGAGATGATTGTAGATTCAGTGCAGTGGTAAGAAGTAATGTATGGAGATCCTGTGTATCTTTTACCAGTTTCCTCCAATGGCAAAAAAAACAAAAACAAAAACAAACATCTTGCAAAATTATAGTATAATACCATAAGCAGAATATTTATATTGGTATAATCCATTGATTTTATTCAAATTGCCTGTTTTACTTGTACTCATTTGTATGTCCTGTTTTACTTGTACTCATTTGTATGTACATATGTGTATTTAGCTCTGTACTATTTTCTCTCTCATAAAGGTTTGTATATTCATCACCATAATCAAGATGAATAGCTCCATCACCACAAAGATCCTTCATAAATACCTTACCTCATTTCTAAAATTTTGTTATTTCAGAAAGGTTCTATTAATGAAATCACACAGTATGTAACCTTTTGGTATTAGGTATTTTCATTTAGTATAATTCCCTGGAGATTCATCCAAATTGTTTTATGTAAAAATAGTTTCTTTCTATTGCTGAGTAGTATTGCTTGTCTTTTGGGGATCATATTTAAAAATGCACTGCCCAGACCAATGTCATGGAGTTTTTTCCCTATATTTTCTTCTAGTAGTTTTACAGTTTCAATCCTTACGCTTAAGTCTTTAATCCATTAGTTGGTTTTTTATATATTATGTGAGATAACCAGCCAATTTCATTTTTCTTCATGTTAATATCCATTTTTTCTGTCACATATATTGACATTCTGTTTGATTACCATAGCTTTGTAATATATTTTGGAATTGGTAATGTGATGCTTCCAGCTTTGTTCTTTTTGCTAAAGATTGCTTTGGCTGTTCAGCAACTTTATGTTTCCATGTGAATTTTAGTAGTTTTTTTCTGTTTCAGTGAAAAATGCCATTTGGACTTTGGTAGGCTCTGCATTGATTTTGTAGACCATTTTGGGTAGTATGGACATTTTAACAATATTAATTCTTCTAATACATGAATGGGTATATCATTCCATTTATTTGTATCTTCACTTTATTTCATCAGTATTTTATAGTTTTCAGTTTATGGATTTTTTTCTCTTCTTGGCTAAATTTTTCTATGTATTTAATTTTTTTGATACTATTTAAAGTGTGGTTTTAAAAAAATTTTTTTTCTGATAGTTTCCTTGTTAGAGTATACAAATGCTACTGATTTTTGTATGTAGATTTTTCATCCTGCCACTTTACTGAATTCATATACCTTTTTTATGGTGAAATCTATAGGGTTTTCTATATGTAAGATCATGTCATCTGTAGACAGACAATTTTACTTCTTCATGTCCCATTTAGATGCCTTTTATTTATTTTTCTTGCCAAATATCTCTGTCTAGGACTTTCAGTACTGTTAATATATTAAGTGGAAGTGCCAAACGTGGGCATCTTTGTCTTGTTCCTGATCTTAGAGAAAAAACTTTTAGCTTTTCACTGTTGAGTATGATGATAACTGTAAGTTGTCATATATGGCTTTATTATGTTGAGGTACATTCTTTCTATTCCTAATTTATTGAGAATTTTTATAATGAAAGGATGTTAAATTTTGTCAAGTGCTTTTTCTGATTCTGTTGAGATGATTATATGATTTTTATTTTTCATTTTGTTAATGTGATGTATCATGCTTAGTAGTTTGCATATGATGAGCCAGCAGCTTTGCATCCTAGGGATAAATCCCACTTGATATTGGTGTATGGTCCTTTTAATGTGCTGTTGTATTTGGTTTGCAATTATTTTGTTGAGGATTTTTGCATTTATGTTCACCAGGGATGTTGGCCTATAATTTTCTATTCTTACAGTGTCCTTGTTTGGGTTTGGTCTCAGGTTAATGCTTGCCTCATAAAATGAGTTTGGAAGTATTCTTTTTAATTATTTGGAAGAGTTTGAGAAGAAATTCCTACTTTTACAGTGAGTTTTATACTTTCATATGTTTTTGTATTGTTAATACCTTTTCATTTCAACTTGATAAAATTTCCTTTGGTGTTTCTTGTAAGATAGGTCTAGTGGTGATGAACTCCCATAATTTTTGTTTGTCTGGGAAAGTCTTTATCTCTCCTTCATTTTTTGAAGGCCAGCCTTTTCTGGTGTAATATTCTTGGTTGGCAATTTTATTTTTCTTTCAGCACTTTGAATATATTATCTCACTGTCTCTTCACCTATAAGGTTTCTTCTGAGAAATATACTTACAGTCTAATGAAGGTTCCCTTGTATGTGATGAGTTGCTTTCCTCATGGTTTTCAAAATTCTTTGACTTTTGACAATTTGATTCTAATGTGTTTTGGTGAAGCTGTCTTTATTTTAATTTGTTTAGAGTTCTTTGGGTTTCATGGATCTGGATGTTTATTTCCTATTCCAGATTTGGGAAATTTTTTGTCATTATTTCTTTAAATAAACTTTGCCCCTTTCTCTGCTTCTTCTGGGTCTTTCATAATGGGTACATTGGTTCACTTCATGATGTCTCATAAGTCCCTTAGATTTTTTTTCACTCTTTTTCATTCTTTATTCTTTTTGTTTCTCTGAGTGGATAATTTCAAAGGCTGTGTCTTTGAGTCCACTGATTCTTTCTTCTGCTTAATTGCATCTACAGTTGAAGCTTTCTGTTGAATTTTTAGTTAGTCATTGTGTTCTTTATCTGTAGAATTTGTGTGTGTGTGTGTGTGTGTGTGTGTGTTACGGTTTCTGTCTCTTTCTTGAACTCTTCATTTTGTTCATACATTTTTTTCCCTGATTCTATGTATTTATCTGAGTTCTCTTGTAGCTCACTGATCTTCCTTATAATGATTAATTTTAATTCTTTGTGAGGCAGTTTGTAGATTTCAGTTCTTTAGGTTTGGTTATTGGTGCTTTATTTTGTTCCTTTGGCGGTGTCCTGATTCCCTAATTACTTGTGATACTCTGGTCTTATGCTGTTGTCTGTACATTTGAAAAAGTAGACAGCTCTTCTAGTCTTTACACATTGGCTTCTTCAGGGAAAGCCCTTCCCCATTCATCCCATCTAGTGGTTCTTGCTGGGCTGTCTGGTGAGTTATGTAGGCTAGCTTGCTGCTGGAGTTGTTGGGAGACCTGGTGTCTCAGTCTACAGGGGGCAGGTTTGGTGCTGGGTTAGGATTAGAGCCATATTCCACAGGGGTGGGTTTGGAGCCTGAGTCCCATCTGGTGTGAGGGCTGGCCTGGAACCTGGAGCCATGGAGGCTGGCCTGGAACCACAGAGGCTGCCTTAGAGCTTGGGGCTGTGGGGTTTGGCCTGATGCTGAGGTGAGCCTAGAGGTTAGGACCATAGTGGTGGGCTTAGAGCCTGAGTCCAGCTTGAGGCCGTGGTGCCTGGTTTGGAGTCTGGGTCTGCCAGATGTAAAGCCTAGAGCCTGAGTTTACAGGGATCCAGCCTCTGGGGCTATGTGTCCTGCCCTCAGGCTGGGGTACATCTAATGCTGGAATTATGACAAGGTCAGATGCTTACCTGACTGTCCTTCCTCACAGAGAGTATGTCTCTACACGTTGCGCTGCCAGGGCTTGGGTGTGGGATGAAGCGGGTAATGTGAAATTGTCCTCTCTAGCCATCTTCAATGCAAGTTTTCTTATTTTTGTTCTCTATCCAGGTGCTCTGATCTCTTATTTGAATTTCTTAGCTATTGTGAAGGTTATTTTCATGAGTGGACAGTTAGTTGTTGAAATTTTCTGCGAGGGAAGAATGGTAGAAAGTCCTATTCTGCTATATCAGCATCATCATTTTCCTCTCAGTCATAGACTTTCTTGCAAAAGCTCTAACATTACAATTATTTAAAACTTAGAGCCTTGTTGGAGAGTCAGGCATAGTTTGTATACTTTGCCTCATATTATGTAGGCATTTCAGTATCTAGTTTTCCTGGTCATTGACTAGTGTTTTAAAATTGTTGTTAGCTAAAAACAAAACAAAACGAAAACAAAGGAAACTAAAAGATATCGAATCAATGGAGTAGACTATGTGGAATGATATGGATTTATTTTCATTTTTTACAGGTAACAGTTCCTTGAAAAATGTGTTTTGTGGTCAAACAAGTTTGGGAAATGCTGGTTTAAATAAAAACAATTGTTTCTTTGCTGTTGGACTTCTCAGCCTTTTAATATGCTAATATACATTATGAGATGATAAAAAAAAGAGTTGTTTTATGGAAATATAGTTGGCCACGGACCATGGGGAGCAGAGGCTTTTTGCATTTTGCAATGGATAGATTATAATAAATGACCACAAATTCTTCTCATCACTGTGTTTGCCCTTATGTGTTATGGCTTTGTACTCCTACTATAAAAGATGAAAATTACTTTTTCCAGCCTTTGAGTCTGTACCTGGCCATATAACTTTCTTTGGCCAGTGTGATATGAGGAACATGATACAAGCAGCCTTGAAAGTGGTTGGGGCTTGCCTTCCCTTGCTGCTCTTTGAAATCCTGCATTAGCTTGGTCCAGAAATCTTTACTAGCTTCTAGGGGATGAGAGACTCTGGAGCAGTGACCCTCCTAGCTAAGATCCCCTCAGTCCAATCATCCTACAAATTGCCAAACATGTGACACCATCCTAGACCATCCCACCCCAACTGAAGTTTGCCTGGATGTGAAGAATTATCCACTTAACCCTTAGAACTGCCAGAAATAATATGTGTCTATTGCTTTAAGCCACTAAATTTTGGGGTAGTTAGCAAAACTAAATGATGCATATAGTTCTTAACTTCTTATATAATACAATTGTTTTATAAATTTAGACTGAGAAACAGTACCCTAGAGATAGGAACATCCCCTAGTACTTGCCACTAGAGTTGAT